TTCTGAAGGGTAATCCAGAAAGTTTCCTGTGTTTTGGTCTGATCTGGACCATAAATGCAAGACAACATGGCATGTTTTTTACCCTGACAGAGGGACTGCTGAGTATTATTAACTGTGGATTTTCCATCTGTATTTCCATTTTGTTAAAGTCTTAAATTTTGGCAAATAAAGAATCTTATTTTGGTCTGGGAAAAGCAAGGAAATTCCTGGCAAATGATATAATAATAAGTAATTCAGATTGTTTTAGAAACAGGAGCTCTGGAGCTGCCTATCCACACTTGGTGAGCAAGTGAAAATTTCTTGTTGCTATGATTTCATTATAACTCATAAATGGTTGCTGGAATTAAAGGTCTCCTGGATACCAGTGGGTGAAATTTGCCTATAGACATAGTTTTAAGAACTGATTCCCTAAGAATATGGACTTCCCCTGGAGTCTGAGGCTGGGTCTGCAAAAATAGATATATAAAAACACCACTTCTCAAATTCATCACTGCACATCTGTTCCAGACACACTCTACTCTCTTGCACTTCAAAACACATTCAAAAACTTAATGGCTTAAATGACAGTTTTATAAGGTCTTTACAGAATTTTAGCTGTGTTAACTTGTAACAATGTGTGCTGACACAAAAATATCACAACAGGTGGCAAAAACAATCTAGGGAATGCCTACTCTCCTGGGACTTCAGCTACATGTATATACCAGACGCTTGTAAATGCTACAGCAAAGCAGTGGACTCCCGACAAAATGTAAAGCTGTTCATTCACAAGCACTCAGTCTACGGTTGGAAAACTGGTTTAATCACAGTAGGTGTAGTGTCATATGTTGCTTTTGGGGAAGGGAAAAAATTGTGTCACACAGAAATCTTTGGAGATGTTATGAGAAGGATCTTCCCATGGCAGAACTGCATTTCCTCTTCCTGGCCAGATTTTCGAGATTGTTGTTTTAGTTGTGGAGGAGATGTCTAATATATGTCTAAATATATGTCTAATGCTGTTCTATGTGTCTGGGATTTAAGATCTTCCCTGTCAGGTTTTGCATACAAAGCAAGTCTCCACTCACAGAGACAGACAGCACTGCTACCAGTATGGAGAAAATGAAGATGAATTAAGCTGCAAGGAGGCACTGGATACTCAGCACTGGAGAGGCAGTGTAACCTGTGTGCAAGCTGACCAGCACAAGAGGAGCCCTGCTGGTGAATCAGCATTACTGTGATAGAGACAGATGAGAAATAAAAACATCATACGATGGGTGAGCAATTGGCTAACGGGCAGGGCCCAAAGGGTTATGGTAAATGGGGCTGCGTCAGGCTGGCGGGCGGTCACTAGTGGGGTCCCTCAAGGCTCCATTTTAGGGCCGGTACTTTTCAATATTTTTACAAACGATCTGGATGTAGGAATAGAAGGCATTTTGAGCAAGTTTGCTGATGACACCAAACTTGGAGGAGTTGTGGACTCGAATGAGGGTGGAAAGGCCTTGCAGAGGGATCTGGATAGGTTGGAGAGCTGGGCGATCGCCAACCGCATGAAGTTCAATAAGAGCAAGTGCCGGGTCCTGCACCTGGGACGGGGAAACCCTGGCTGCACGTACAGACTGGGCGATGAGACGCTGGAGAGCAGCCTAGAAGAGAGGGATCTGGGGGTCGTGGTAGACAGCAAGTTGAATATGAGCCGGCAGTGTGCCCTGGCAGCCAGGAGGGCCAACCGTGTCCTGGGGTGCATCAAGCACGGCATTGCTAGTAGGTCGAGGGAGGTGATTGTCCCGCTCTACTCTGCGCTGGTGCTGCCTCACCTCGAGTACTGTGTGCAGTTCTGGGCACCACAGTATAAAAAGGACATGAAACTGTTGGAGAGTGTCCAGAGGAGGGCTACGAAGATAGTGAAAGGCCTGGAGGGGAAGACGTACGAGGAACGGCTGAGGGCACTGGGCCTGTTCAGCCTGGAGAAGAGGAGGCTGAGGGGAGACCTCATCGCAGTCTACAACTTCCTCGTAAGGGGGTGTCGAGAGGCAGGAGACCTTTTCTCCATTAACACCAGTGACAGGACCCGCGGGAACGGGGTTAAGCTGAGGCAGGGGAAGTTTAGGCTTGACATCAGGAGGGGGTTCTTCACAGAGAGAGTGGTTGCACACTGGAACAGGCTCCCCAGGGAAGTGGTCACTGCACCGAGCCTGACTGAATTTAAGAAGAGATTGGACTATGCGCTTAGTCACATGGTCTGAACTTTTGGGTAGACCTGTGCAGTGTCAAGAGTTGGACTGGATGATCCTTAAGGGTCTCTTCCAACTCAGGATATTCTATGATTCTATGATTCTATGACTGTAATATAAAAAACAAGTTGGTCCCACACTCACTTTATGATATTTTTTGGGGCTGCACAGTGTTTGAGGCAAAGCCAGGCAGAAGACACTGAGTTAAGCACTGCTCAGCAGTAGCACTGGCAGAGGCTGGTCAGAACCATCCAAGGCAGAAGACTGACTCTGGAAGAGGGAAAGGTAAGGACAATCTTAAGAGATTATCCAGGCTCTTTTAAGGGTCAAAAGGAAGAGAACATAACAATTTTCACACTCACGTCTTTAAGCCAGAACATGAGATTGTCATTACATCTTGTACTACTTCTTGATGAAGTTTTGTCAAAAGACAGCTTCAGAGGAGATTGCTGAGGAATGTTGTTCATAAAACATATTCTTGGTGGTCACAAGATGTCTGAGGAGGTGGCTGATCTCTTGAGGGCAATAGAGAACAGTGAGAAAAGTGAGCATTTGAGAAAGCTGCTCATGAGAAAACTGTATAAATTCTATCAATACCCTGCTTGATTGTTTCTGTCTTCTCTAATGGCCCTTCCATTAGAAAGAAAGATGAGTGAGGAAAATGTACCAAATCCTACAGGTTGGAAAGTTACTTCTTTCTTCTAAGCCCATGGAGACACTGTACACACATAGACACATTGAACACTAGATTAAAAATTGCACTTTGTATGGGAAGAGAGAAAAGTTGGAAAGCTACAGTGAAATAGCTAGAAGCTATTTCTACAAGTGATATTGTGGGTGTGTTAACGGCATAGGAGAACACTGCATAGAAGTTACAGATTTATCTCACCCACTCAATGTGAGACACCTAACAGAACTACATAAGCACAGCCATTATTAAAAGCTCCTTGTATGAGCTCCTTAAGTGGTTCTCTTCTCAAAGCAGCTCAGCCATCCCAGTTCCGAGTTGTTGTCTGAGCATGTCCAAGTCTTTCCAGGGCCAGAGAGGGAGACTTTTCCCCTAATATAAATTCCTCAGTTAGATGTCTGCTCACAGGATAGGAATTCCACCCTCAGTGACCAGGCTTCCCCTGCAGAGCCCTGCCAGATGTCCTCTTCCTTCCACTTTCCTGGGGTCTGGCCCTGCTCCATCTGCTTAGATCTTGCAGTCTGTTCTCCACAATGCTCTCCACAATGCTCTTCAGCAGGCAACAATTTCAGCAAATATCCCAAGCACACTATTTATTTATAACCTCTCTTTCCATAGCTCTATTCTGCTACCTGCTCTGTGGAAGGGGGGCTTATTTCTCTGAACATACAACATCCCACCTGCCCTGCAGTGTGGCAACTGTCACCTAAATCTTGTGTCAGGCCCACACAGAAGCCTCAGACAGAGTAGGTTGCCTCCAGTGATGGTATAGTACTCTTCAACACCCATATGATCTTTACCAACTCACCTCTACTTTGTCCTCATTTGTGGTAGTGCACAGAAAGTGTGATGAGGCATGTAGCTGTTAAAGGGGACCTATGTTGGGATAGACCTGATGTTGAATCTCAGCAGTTCTTACCACCAACAGGAGGCACAGAGGAGAGAGAACCTCCTCCTTTGAAAGACAAAACCGCCTGAGAGTTCAGGTCAGAAAATCTGAGTGCTTTTTTAAACCTTAAAATCAGTATATAAGAAAGAGTCTATGGAATATGAAGTCATCAGGCAATTTTCCAAGAATGCTGGGAATTCCTGTAGAAAAGTGACATACAAATTCCTCAGCCCAACTTGTATTATGAGCGTAACTTGATTATGCTGAGTAAAGTTCTTTCATTTCTTTGTGGGGCTTCCACATTTTCCTGCAGACAAAAGAATGTTTAACACAGATGAGAATTGTATCAAAGAAAAGCTGCACAAAGCACTACTTCAACAAACCATGAGTAACAGCACTGACCAGCTAATTTTGAAGGACTGTGCCAAGGGAAAGATGATGGCACTATTATAATCTCCAAAAGTACAAAAGTACCTGTTCCTGTATGGATAACAACAAACAAATAAATAAATAAATCTATTTGAAGTTTAAAGTTCTGTAACTTTCTATGAATGTTGTAGGGGTTTTTTTGTTTGTTTGTTCCATTTCTATTTATTTATTTATTTAACCACTTTAACAAAATTTATTTACTTAATTCAATATTAATATTAATAATCTAATGTTAATATTAATTTAATGTTTATTTAATTTATTTAACCGAATTTATTTATTTAACCACTCAGTTGAAATCAAAAGGAACATTGGATGGAAAATGTTATAAAGTTATGCCCTAGGTTTTTACAAAGTAAAACTACATTTTAATACTTAAAAAGTTAATGATCCTATTAAAAAGAAATTTAATCCTATTAAAAAGAAATGTAATGATCCTATTAAAAAGAAATACAGGTCTGTTTTCTCCTCATTAATCATATTTCCATGTTGCAAAACCTCCAGAAGGGTGGAACCGGATGAAAGACAACAATCGATCTTTTTGTGTTAAAACTGTTTGGCATATATTCTGTTGCTAACTAAAAGTTGTGAGAAGTAGTGAGTCAGGACTGGAGAACGCTATAAAGCAAATGAGTACTATATAAAGGTGAAACTATATAAAGGTGAAAAAGTGAAAAAGTGAATGAGTACTATATAAAGGTGAAACAGGTGAGTGTTTCTTCTTCTACAAAGAAGACTTTTCTAAAGGCAAGTGAAAAAGAGAATGGAGAACATTTCATTTCTCCTGCTGTTGTGTGCAGCACTTTCTCATGCTTTTCCTGCATATACAAGGAAGGAGAAACAAGAAGGCATGCAGCTGATTCAGGTAAGGAGGGTAGGCCTCTGGAGCTGAGATCTCTATCAACCATTAAGCATCCATTGTGGTCTCTGGAATAATGCTAGTATGTAATAGCTTGACAGATACTATGTATTCCAGTATGTACTGCAAATTCCATTAGAGTGAGTAACATGATTATTTCTCCAAGTAGGGGGATTTCTACTCTCTACTGTGACGTCAAAACCTTCTTTAACCTTGACTCATTCCTGTATTATTTTTTGTAGAGAACAACTAAAACTGCTGATGCATTCACTGCATCAGTGTTGAGTTGATTAAATAAATAATTAAACAACTGAGTCAGCGTATGTTTGACCTGTAGTCACGTGGAAATGTGGTTATTTATGTGACTTCTTGTATTATGAGATGTAGTTCTTCATAAGATAAGGATTTTTATTTTTTTATCCAAATTGTTACTCTAAAAAATGTGGGTAAATGGAATACCACTACTGAAATTTTGCATATATAGTCATATATTTCAATGAGTTTTTTCACTGCCTGCTCTAAATGACTCTGGGTAGCCCTGGAGCACAAGGTTAGTGAAGGACACATTACCAGAAAATAATCAGTTTATTAGACAACTGCTAAATCTGAATGTATTCTGAGTAAAACACAAAGCATCTGTAGTGATAATATAATACAAAATAATTGTCATTAAGAGAAAAATATTCATACAGGCTTTAACAAATTCTATTATGCATGTTCCTAAGGAACAAAGAAAAGTAGCGAAGATACGGGTCTGAAGTGGTATTAGCATAATTTTTAAGAGCTTCAAAAGTGAACACATTTGACTGTCCTAAAATGCTTTGTTTTCATTAGAAGTACCTGGAAAATTACTATGGCTTTAAGAAAGATGGGGAATCTTTCATTTGGAAAAGCAATAATCCAATGACCAAAAAAATAAAAGAAATGCAGGAATTCTTTGGACTGGAAGTGACAGGAAAACCAGATTCTGGCACTTTGGACCTAGTACAGAAACGTCGCTGTGGATTCCCTGATGTAGCTGGGTTCTCCACCTTCGCAGGAGAGCCAAAATGGGCAAAACAAGTTCTGACATATAGGTAATCATAATGCAATCCTTGATGTAAAGACAGTGTGTTATGTAGTTAAGTTGTAAGGACACAATTTTTCTCTATGTTATATTGTAAAGATTACTAAACTCTACACCAGACCTACACCCAGCAGATGTCAATGCAGCAGTCAAGAAAGCATTCAGCGTTTGGAGCAGTGTGACCCCACTAAAATTCATCATGAAGGACAGAGGTGATGCAGACATAATGATCTCCTATGGAGCCGGAGGTAACGGCCTACATAACCATAATGAGCTATTGCCAAATACTGCCAATATAAAGCCATTGACCTAAAAAGGTCATGATTCATTCTCATGTAGTGCACAGAAAAACACAATTCCTGCTCAAGATGTTAAGAAGATGATCCTTGAAGATGTTTGAGGGAGGATGTAGAGGGAGATGAAGAGAGGGGAGAGAAAATAAATGTAATGAGCTGCCTGTAGATCCCTGAAACCGTACCTAGTGTTAAACATACAATGTGTGCACAAACCACAAGGGGATTGGGGCTTGTGGAATATGCTCAGGTTCAGAGCATAATTGAGTGGGTAGCACTAGTTACACTCCTGGGTTACTCAGATGTTCTACGTGAGCTAAAAAAGTTCTAGACATACTCAAGGTTTGTATTTTTGGCATTGCCCTCAGGGTAGTGTTACCAGCAGCCTTCCCTCTTACATTAACAGTCATTCATGCATGCACTCTCCGAGTCAGCTCCTCTCTTCCCACCCAAATAAACATATCCACTCATTTGGGTTCTGAAGAGTGTGCAAGCACTGCATGTAACCCTTAAACCTATGCTATTAAGTCCTTTTCTGGAGTTTCCATTTAAGGGCTTACCAGTGAAGGGTTCACATTGTCCTCCTCAGGACCTTGCCATCAGCACTGAAGTTAGCCATAAGGTCAGGTTTAAGTAGTAACCTCCTGAGGGCTGCTGGCACAGAGCTTGGAAAAAAAAAAAAAAAAAAAAAAAAAAAAAAAAAGTATGATCAAAACAAAGAATAGATTTCAAGCAAACCTGTTTTGCCCTCCTCCTCACCCATGGAAGAAATAGATAAATGTCCACCCACATCTTGAGGAAGCCAAGTTTTCCTTACCAATGCATCTGTTTTCTCTATGAAAAATAGACCTTTTGGCAAATCTGTGTGGAAAGGGACCTTGAAAGTTTACAATCAGCAGAATAGAAAGCTCTGTGCATGACTGAGGTCTGTCACCCACTCCCACTGCTCCCTCCCTGTAGCCTCCAGTCATCTCTTTGTGGGATTTGCTTCTCAGGTCACAATGATTTGCTCCCCTTTGATGGCCCAGGAGGGTCTGTTGCTCATGCCTATGCACCCGGAAAGGACCTTGGTGGAGATGCACACTTCAATGAGGATGAAACCTGGACCAAAAGCACAGAGGGTAGGAAATTCAGTTCTCCAATCCCTACCTGAAGCAGGATATACATGGAATCAAGAATGCAAAGTCTGTCTCCTCTCTCCCTTAATAAGTGCTTTAAAATGGGGCTGATTTGAAGGAGCATTAGGCAGCTCTGGTTTCTGTAGTCATAAAAAGTCCTTGAGCTCTCTGATTTTAAAAGTTATGGCTTCAGCCAAACTTTTGCCCTGGACTGGGTGGAGATTTACTTGGGAGGAATCTAAGGGAATGGGCAACCTCCTTCTCCCCACCACTGCACCCAATTTGTCTCCCCTGTCCCCCTCCTCCCCTCCCCCCCCCCCCCCCCCCCATGGTTACATCACCTGCACTAATCCAGGGTCCTTCTCCTACACTGAAATGTTTAATGATTTCATTATGCTTCTTTCTGACCAGAATTTTGTCTCCAACTGAATTTTCCACAAATAGCTTTACTTTCTCGGGAAAGCAGTTTTGATAACCTATTATGGCCTGCATGTTTTGAGGACAAGTGAAAAGACACAGATCTCCTTTCATGCCTTTTGGTTGTTGTTTTCAGGTACGAACCTGTTTTATGTGGCTGCCCATGAGTTTGGACATTCACTTGGACTTTTCCATTCCAAAGACACCAATGCTCTGATGTACCCAGTTTATAGGAAATTTGACCCTTCAGTATTCCCTCTTCATCAGGATGATATTAAGGGCATTCAGTACCTCTATGGTAATTCCCTGTTATTAATCTTATAATGCTTGTAATTTCAAACATTTTGGAATACCTGTCAATAACTTTGTGTACTGGATATATGTGAATGACTCAGCATTTCAATTTCTTCCATAAACTGCTTCCTTTAGGACTTTCTATCACCTACAATGACCAAAGTGAGTCTGCTGAGATAAAGGACCCTACTGAGTCAAAAGAGCCTGCATTGCCAAACACCTGTAGCCCTGATTTAACTTTTGATGCTGTCACCACTTTCGGTGGGGAAATAATGTTCTTTAAAGACAAGTAAGTCTGCTTTCTGAAAGTATAATGCCCACATGTCATTTATAAATTATATACTACAGCATAGAAAAATAACTTCATCCAGAATATTGTACAGCTGCTTTTCCTCACTGTGGTCTCAAAGGGGTTCAGATGAGACAGAGATCTACACTCTGAGGTAAATGGCTAATTTGAGAAGTGGCTTATGAGCTCCAGCCTGCACAGGTGTTGTTACCTCTCTAGCCATCTGGGTGATACCATCCAACTTCAGTGACTTTCCTTCAGCCCTGTGAATGACCCTCCAGGAGAGGCCAACCTCAGCTGGTCACCAGAGGGGCTGAGCTCAAGCACTGGCTGGTTGAGGTGCCTGTGGTCACATTGTCTCTCACTATGCACAATCAGATGTCTGAAAAGAGGCCCTGGGCTGTACCAAGGTGTTCAAGCTCTCTTCCTTTACTGTTACGTGAACCAGAGCATGTATGAGTGTGTATGTAAATAATCAGGGCAATCGGGCAGTTCACACCCAAGCACAGGCTCAGCTTTGTGCTGTAGTGATAAGTCATATCTTATATCTCTCCCCAGTACTGGCTGCTGCTCTGCTATATCACTGAAAGCTATTCTCTCTACTTTCAGTGGAACGGAAGTGCCTAAATCTCACAGAGGATATTTATCACTTGAGTATCACTTATTATTTGTAGAAAAATTCACTTGAGTGGTTGCAAGCTTCAAGCTATAGCACAAATAGTGCAAAGCATTATAACAGCAGTCTGGCTGTTAGAGTTGAAACAAGCACCATACTCTGATTTATTAGAGAAAGTTCTGCTAACTGTATGTCTTATTTTATCATCTGTTAATAATTCTGATTCTTTCACTGCAGTAATCTCTAAGAGTGAAATCTATAATGAAGTGCTAAAATCGGTGTTTCTTTTTTGGGTTGTACAATATCTCCAGACACTCAGACACCTAGGAGAATTCAGCATCAGCAAAAGACACCACCAACATTGGGACTCTCAGCACCTTCATTCTGTCCTTGCTTTGAGCTGAGGGTGTAACTGTCCTGAGGCAATGCTTGTTTGAAAAGCCCCTGCAGTGGTGATTTAGTACAATAATAAAAAGTAAGGGTAATTGATTCATTGCTAAGCTCAAATAAACTGCCTGTCTCCGAAGGCATGACAGCCCAAAGATTTGGGAGAAGGGTATAAGAACTGCTTCAGACTCTCCCCAAAATCAGCATTAAAGGGAGCTTTAACTTCAGGGAGCTGAGTCCACAAAGCTGGACAGGTGTTATTTTGCAGAAGATACTTATGTACTCCAACTGTTTCTCTAAACTGTTGGAGGTAACACTGGGGTGGGGATTCATTCCCCAAATCAATCCCCAAATCAGTTTCTTGTACAAGAACCAAGTCTCTCTAGCTGGTCTTCTGCATAAAAGGAAAATAATAGCTGGTTAGATATGCAACAGTTCATCTGCCCTATCTTAGATGTCTGCATCAAGAGGAGAGGAATCCTCGCCATGGAAATGACATTCTTTCCATCAATATTACAAGGAGATTAGGGTGACTAACACAGGGTACATGGCTGAGTTTAGTCAGATAAATCCTGTCCCTGTTGCCATGGCATGGTTTCATGCATTCTTGTGTGTAAACGTCTGATTTTATTCAAAGCCTGTACTATGTTTACATCAGGCACTTTTGGCGCAAACATCCTGCAGTAAGAGAAATTGATTTTCATTTAGTAACTTCATTCTGGCCATGGCTGCCCTCTGGTGTTGATGCTGCATATGAAATCCCCGAAAAAGATGAAACTCACCTTTTTAAAGGTAAGATTTTTTAATATATTTATTTGTTTAAATTTTAATGCCAACTTTCCTAGTAGCTTAGAGAATGTGTCTGGCTTGAAAAACACTTTAAGGTCTTTCTGTGGTATTCCATGAACTTTAATTTAGTTCAATAAATTGGGATATTTCAATCACAGAGATAACAAACATATTATCCAAGATAAGGTACGTGTCTAATTTTTTAATATCAATAGAGAAAAGTTTTCATGCCAAAGTAAATGTCATTATTTTTGTGTTTTGTTTCATTTTCTGGAGAGTTATTTATTGAATTTGAAAATGATAACGTTTGTTTCTAGTCTGAGGAAAGCTAACATAAGTAGGAGGGAAAAGAGGAGTTTTAGTTTTTGTAAAATGTGGTGCACTCTACTATTCTTGCATGTTTTTGGACTGCAGAACTAGACTGTAGAATGTTATCAAGTAATCAGTAGCTTCTCTCTGTATTTTTTCATTTAAAGATTAGTTTTCACAAAAAAGGACTGCATCATTCCTGGAAGATTCTGATAATGTTTTCAACATTTTTTCTTGATAGGAAATGAATTCTGGGTTGTGAGAGGAGATACCATATTACCTGGATACACCAAAAAAATGTACATCCTGGGATTTTCAAAGGATGTTGCCAAAATTGATGCTGCTTTTTATGATAGAAATAAGGGGAAAATATATTGCTTCATAGGGGACAGACAGATTTTGGAGGTAAAATTACCTGTGTTACTTTCCTAAAAAGGAACAAGTATTATCAATATCCTGTCATGACTTAAGATGCATGTCACACTGTTTTGGTCATCTCTTTCACTGCCACAACTTTCTATGGAAAAAATATTTGAAAGGGAATTGAAACAATGTTCTTAGATCTCCTTTTAAATGTTTTAGTTATTTAACATTTATTTATTTATTTAAATTTACTTACTTTGGGGGGAAAAAAAAAAGTAAAAAGAAAAAAAAACAAAGCTATCTTACGGTTCCACAAATCAGCTCATGAAATCAGTCAGAACCATCTTAATACATGATTTTTATCAACATCAGTTCTGTGGGTTGAATATCCCTCTTTTCAGTTACAAACAGGGCATGAAGTTTCAGACAAATGTTTAGCACACCAAAGAACTCTCTGCTGTGCCCGGATATGATTTTCTTTCTTCATTCAGTCTCTGCTGCTCAGGTCTGTGTTGCAGGCCATATATTTCTAACTGAAGGAGGTGCTCCCATAACAGAAGCAGTAGGTAACCAGCTTTTGTAAGTGAATGACACAGCTTCTGTCTTTCATACACATGTATGTCACGCATACAGAGATCATCCTGGAGTAGCTAGTCAGCTACAAACTTACAGTTTGAACAGAAAACTACAATTCTACATTTTCATTCAAAATCTCATAGTCCAGAGGGCTTCATCTGAGTAATTTTTCTGATAATTAAAGCTCTTGCTGAACAAAGCAAAATGCTTTCAGCCTTGTTGTAAGCAAGTATGTTGCAGAATTCCAGTACTGATAAACTGTACTTCACTCAAAATTTCACGGCTTGTTGTAAGTAAACTGAGTAAAATAACTTAATCTATATTATAACTTAAGAAAAAAAGAAAAAAGAAAGAAAAAAAGAAAAAAAAAAGAAAGAAAAGAAAAAAAAGAGAGAGAGAAAAAGAAAAAAAAATCCTGATAAACACTTCTTGCAAAGAAGGATCAATAAAGCAATTTCTTTATAAACTTACAGATCTAACTTATGCTGGAGGTAAGATTATCTACCTCTTCTTTACATACAATCTGTTAAAAACAAAATAATAGAAATAGGGCAGATTTGTGATAATGGCTTACATACTAAGTATTCTTAGATGTATCTTAGATGGGGTCATGTAAACGGAAGGAATTCTTCCAATGCAGCTCATAGAGTAATAATTGTTTATGAAATCTTGGACCTGTCTCAAGGCTGTCTAAATGCTATTGAAAGTCTTCATTGAACTTGGATCCCTGGGGTGAAGTTCTTGGGGTGGGCTGGATTAATCATAAGTTTTTTGCACTTTTAATTTGCACCAGGTTTTTTCTTTTTTTTTTTTTTCTCAGTTATAATCAAACAAATGAGTCCATGGACAGGAGGCCCAGACTGATAAAAGATGCATTTCCAGGAATGAATGGGAAAGTCGATGCTGCTTTTCAACACAAAAGTGAGTCATTTTTCTTGAATAAACTTGCACTAAACGACCCAGGGAGTCTCAGGGTCATGGGGCTGAGAGTGGTTAGACAGAAAGAGGCTCTTCTTCAGGCTCCTCATAGCCCTGAGGCTGACCCCTGAGACCCAGAAACAGTCATGTAAGACAGCTATGCTTTACTTTACCTCCTTGAAAAATCATGTTGATGACAGAAGAGCACCACTCAAGAACACACTGAGGTCTCAACAATGTAAAGTCTGCTGTGAGCCATGCTATCACAATTTGATCCTGTGACATAAAATGTCACTGCTTTGAGAATAATAATTGCCACTATCTTCTTCTGCACAACAGAAGATGTTTGCTGGGACAGACTCAAGTGTAAGTCTGCACTGCCAGATGGTACAGCTACCCAGTTCTCTCCTAGCTCTTCATCCACCTACCACCAAAACCCTAGAATGTTAATTGGAAGTCTATAGTTTCCTCCAGAACAAATCCTATATGTGAAGGTGGGAACCTGTAACTGCAGTCCTCACTCTTGGAGGCTGTTCTGAGGCTGGGTCTATCCTTACCCCCACATTATTTAGCAGCACCCTTGCAATCTTACTTCCTCTTGCACCCTACCGTGCTCTCTGCCACGACCCAGGCTGTGCAATACCCACTCCCAGATCCACAATAAAAGAAATGCTTCTGGAGGCTTTCAACAAAGCCTTTGCATGATAGTAAACGTTTTAAACTGCAGAAACACACCCAAGATAAATTTGTTGTAGAGTCATCTCATGGGCTTCATTAAGTAGATCATGCAGTGTATGTATGGCTGGTTTGCTGTGGAAGGTGCTAGCCCTGAGCAGGGTGACCCCGTGCCATGCTGCACCCTTTTGCAAAGGTTACGCCTGGGAGCAGATAGTGTTGGCATTGCGTGTGTATACAAAGTTTTTTCAACTCTCTCCAGCTTTTGTTAAAGTAAACTAATCTTTACACCTGCAATATCATAAATTAACCTGGCTTTTTTTTTTTTTTTCTCTCTCTATAGACTTCCTTTATTTCTTTCATAGAAGAAAGCAATTTGAGTTTGACTTTGATAAGAAGAGAGTTACATACCTCCTAAAGACAAACTTCTGGTTTCCATGTTAGGAAAACAGAATCTACAGCAGAGTAGGAGATAATGCAGTCTTATTGCACTAGAAACACTTTTTCTTTTACAATTATACAGAACATATAGGTGCTTCAGAGTCAGTCATCACACCTCAACACCTGCATTTTCCTTGTGTGTTTCTGTAAATAACAAAAGAACTGTATTTATCATACTATGGTGTATATATACCAGAATTGTTTACTTACCAAAGAATAACACAGCTTTTACATTTGATAGAAAACCATGTCAATACACTTTTTTCCATAGTCTTTTCAGTCTTCATGCTGTAAATCACCCTACAAAGAGCCCTAGCATTGCTTTCAACAAGTTCTAGATATAAATTAAGCAATCAGAGCTACCTCTCATAGTTATGGAGAGACAGACAGGAGCTCCAGAAAACAATTCAGAAATCAACCTGAGATGGGCGCATAGGGACAGAAGTGCTTCTTCCTCAGTACTGGCAGCAGCACCATCTTGTTTGAGCAGCTTATGTTAGATGCCTGATTGTAGGTGGCTAAAATGGTGTGATGAATCCTACCCTAAGATATTTATTGATATTTATGTGATTAAAGGTTCATGTCCACTGACACAGGAGATTAGGAGCATCCTGGCACGTGGGAGAGACCCAGTCACCCCTGACCTGTCCCATGCCCCTCCATTTGGCATAGGGGAACCTCAGACTTTGGGCCAGGGGAATACCTGTCACTATGTGTCAATGACACAGAGCCTCCATCTCTCACAAACTGAGGGGTCACTGCCACTGTTCAGCACTGTTGACAATAATCTCCCAGGCACTGGGGTCAGGCATCACTGGCAACACTCCACAAGTGGGATTAAAAGAGTCATTCAAACTCTTAAGTACGCAGACGGACAGTTAGCAAGATCTAAGGTCTTAGAGAATGTATATTTTATGCATGAAAAAAAAAAATTACCTGGTGTCCACTGTCTCCCTTGTCAGACAGATTACCTATAAATAAATACATAAATATATAAATGAAGTAAAACATAAAAATAAAGTTTTTGATTCCTCACAAAATCACAGAAAGGTTCGGATGGGAAGGGATCTCTTGGTCCATCTGGTCCAACCCCTGCTCCAGCAGGGACACCCAGAGCAGGTTGCCCAGGACCACATCCAGGTGGTTTTTGAAGATCTCCAAGGAGGAGACCCCACAGCCTCCCTGGGCAACCTGTGCAAGGGCTCCCTCACCCTAGTGGTCACTGAAATATCTTTGTTTCAGTTTGTTTCAGTACACATTGCCTCTTATTCTGTTGGAACAAAAGTATTATATTTATATATACAATTGTATTATATGATTGCAATATTTCAACATGCATTATGGGACTTTTTTTTTTTCTGACATATATTTAGCCCCCCTCCTAGTAGCAGGTCTACCCAAATGGGACACCAATGTGTATTTAGACCATGAGCAAATTTAATCTGAACTTCATTGAGGTCAAAAACATGGTACAGCAAACTCAGTCTTGCAAGACACAGACATTGCCATTTGTTTGTTCCTGCAGCAAACAGTGCAAATACTGCTGCCATACCCTGCGGTAGAGCTGACAAATAGGACTTTGCTACGCTGGCAAAACTGGAGACAAAATGATTAGATTGAGCTACACCATGTCCAGAAAAATAAATAAGTAGATCTGATTGTTGTCTCATATTGCCAAGTTCAGGGAAACAGGTTCAATTCTTCTAATTTGAATGTCTGTATTGAATAAAGAAGGAAATATTTCAATTACATTAATTTGTTCCTTATTATTTGCCTCACACTCTTCTTGTTTCATAATTCTGTTATTCCTTCACATTTCTGGCATGGCTTTCTGAGTGGTCTCATAACCACAAGATATTTTAATGTCTTAATCAGTCCTCAGTCTCAGCTACAATAGTAAAAGCCAAAAAAGATGCATGAGTGGTTTGGCTCACACTTTATAGGTTTTATTTCCTCAAGGAATTCTCTAACTGCCTCTCAGCTTGGGTGGTTTTCTTCAGTTCTTCCTACTGCTGATCATCCTCTATAGTATCTTTGCCCTCCACAGCACTGCCATGTTATCTGACTGCATTAGAGCATGTTTCATTTAAACATAATATAATAATCTCTTCTGTCTCTAATCTTCCAGACATTTTCTGAAATACTCTCTTTCAGATGGGATTCTAGCTCTCAGAGCAATGCATACTTGTCCTAGATCTTTTATGATTGTTATGGCTCTCAAATACTTCTCTATTTCTTCATTTTTTATTATTTCTGGCGAGTTGGGACTCTACTTCCTTATTTCACTAATTACATGCCCAGATGATCATGCTAACTGTTGAATATGAAGTCATAGAATCATGTTGAATCAGAAGTAGAGCTTAATCGTCTGTAGTAAAATGTGTTCTAAAATAATTTAGGTTTCCTGTTGTATGTCGGTGTCTTATTTTTCTTCCCAATTCTTATTTTGAAAATATCTG